AGGAGCCCCTTGGGGTGATGGTCGCTGCACCAAGTGTCACCACACGGTGCCGTTGCAGCACCAAGCAGAGCCTGGGCTCTGCTCAGCCCAGCGTTGGGCGGGTACCTGGCCAGGCACGGTGATGCCCCGCAGCCGGACGAAGAGGTTGTCAAGTGCGTTTTCAAAGTCCAGCAGCGTCTCCTGGCTCCTCAGCAGCTGGGCTCGCCCCTGTTCCAGCCGAGCCTCTTCCCGCTGCAGCCTCGTCCTCAGCTCCTCCACCAGCCCCCTGGAGCCAACCACGGTCACATCCATACAACGGCACAGGGGTGCAGACACCCCAAAGCTGTTGCAAAAGCTGCTGCCCAGCTTCTCCCCTGCCCCCAAGCGCAGAGCAGAGACGCTGCCTGCAACTCAAGCCCACGCTGCTGCTGCTCCCACTTCCCATGCCAGGCAAGGAGCAAGGCTCCTCCTGCTGCCAGCGCAGGAGCTTTGCGTGCTCTGCCAGCACCAGAGCTGGGGCAGCACTCTGCTCAGAAAGCCTCCCAGTGCGGGAGGGGTGGGCAGCCGCAGGGTGACAAAGGAAGGGCTGCCCTCTTGGGACACCTGCCATGCACATGTCCCCCTGCCCCTAAGGGTGCCGGCCCCTTTGGCATGAGTGTCCGGAGGCCAGCAGCACCTGCTTGTGTCTGGGGGCCGGCGAAACTTCAGCTCATCGCGCTGCATCTCCAGCTCCTTCACTGTCTTCTCCAGCTCCTGCTTCTTCTCCTTGCACCTTGTGAGGTAGTGCTCGATTTCCAGCAGGGACTTCTGCTGTGCCTGGAGCCTGACGGGGATGTCCTGGCCGGGGGAGAGCACAGGGACTCAGCCCAGGGCACTCCTGCAGGGTACAGGATCTGGGCCGTGCTCCTGGGGAGGTTTCTGCACCAGGAACCACAGGAAGCACTGCAAGTTGATGGCGTGGAGCAAAGCAGTTCCAGCCCTGCCTGTACAAGAGGGGCCCTGGGGGGCTCTGGGGGCAGAGGAGAGCAGATAACCCTGCCATGGAACAAGGTGAGCAGACAAGGCTCAGCTCCCTGGGGCTGGAGCAGCCCCAGCTTCTACCAGAGACGGCTTTTCACCTCACCCAGAGGCGGGAGCACTGCACCACATCCTTGGCCTTCTCCATCTTCTCCCTCACGTAGGCCTCCCGCTGCAGCTGGGACTTGGTGGCCTCCAGTTTGGCAGCTGCGGTGGAAAGGTTGTGGCAGGGAAGGATGCCTGCGGCTGCGCCTGCATCCGCCCCCTGCACCCTGACAGGCACTCACCCACCACTGGGTCCTCTGCGGGCAGGCGCAGGAAGTCCCTGCTGAGGTCACGCTTGGCTCGCTGCAAGGATGTTCATCGTCACCCCTGAGCTGCTGGCACCCTGGGGGAGCTGGCCCTGCAGCCCCTCACCCATGGCAGGCTGGGCACTGATGCCCGCCCTATGCCTGCAACCCTCCTGTGCCGGGGCCCCCCAGCTCACCATTTTCAGAGCCCTTTCTTTTGCTTCCTTGAGCCAGCCTCCGTCTGTGGGCTCTTTCTGAGCAGCCTGGGTGCGGAGCCTGAGCTCCCTCTCTGCAAGGACCTGGGTTTTCGTCCTGACCATGTGCTCCTGGAGAAGAGCAGAGCAGAGAAGAGCAGAGCAGAAGAGAAGTGGCTCCCAAAGCTCCAGCGGACCTCTGTGAGCTTCTAAGCCTGGCATGGCCAGCATCAAAAGTGCCACCCCCTACCCCCTGTAAACAGCCTGGGAAGGAAAGCCAGCAAGGCCAGCTAGAGGATGGAGAACGCCACCTTCCCCGTGGCCAGGGCTTCAGGCAGCTGTCCCCAGCTCAGGGCAGCCTGGCCCAAGAGCCAGACACAGGAGGAGCTATGGAGGCATCTGGGTGCTGCGGGGAAGCCAAGCTCAGTCTTGCTTTTTCTTGAAGGAAGGAAGACTCAGCAGCACGGCCATCTGGTGCCATGTGTGGGCTCTGGAGGGCAGGAAAGCACCCCGAGGTGCCCTGGACGATGGTCTCACCTTGGCTCCACGAACAGCTCTGAGCCCACGCGAGGCCATGAGCTCCATGTCTTCCACCTCCCTATGCTGCAGCTCGGCCATCTCACTCAGGAGGTCCAGGTGCAGAGGCAGGTGGGCCAGCTCCTGGGACACGGGGAGCCACAGCCCACTGAGTCCCAGGGGTGCCTTGTGCTGGGACAGAAGGTGGAGGGGAGCAGGAGGACCTCCTGCAGGAGGGTGTCCCACCAGCACAGCCCCTTGGGCCCTTCAGTGCCTTTGCAGGGGGAGCGGGTGAGGCAACGGCACGGTGAGGATGAGCTCACCTTCCTCAGGGCATCCCGCACCGCCACGTACAGGGCAGTCACCTTCTGCCCAGCGCGGACTTTTGTTTGTATCTTCTCTATGTTGCCCTCCAGGGTACGAACCACCTGGGGCAGAGAAGGTTGGAGACAAGGGGTGAGCCCATCTACTGAGACCAGTGCCCACCCAGGGGGGCAGGGTTGACTGAAACCCCCCACGGGTGTGCTTGGCTTCCCCGCAGCACCCAGATGCCTCCATAGCTCCTCCTGTGTCTGGCTCTTGGGCCAGGCTGCCCTGAGCTGGGGACAGCTGCCTGAAGCCCTGGCCACGGGGAAGGTGGCGTTCTCCATCCTCTAGCTGGCCTTGCTCGCTTTCCTTCCCAGGCTGTTTACAGGGGGTAGGGGGTGGCACTTTTGATGCTGGCCATGCCAGGCTTAGAAGCTCACAGAGGTCCGCTGGAGCTTTGGGAGCCACTTCTCTTCTGCTCTGCTCTTCTCTGCTCTGCTCTTCTCCAGGAGCACATGGTCAGGACGAAAACCCAGGTCCTTGCAGAGAGGGAGCTCAGGCTCCGCACCCAGGCTGCTCAGAAAGAGCCCACAGACGGAGGCTGGCTCAAGGAAGCAAAAGAAAGGGCTCTGAAAATGGTGAGCTGGGGGGCCCCGGCACAGGCAGGGTTGCAGGCATAGGGCGGGCATCAGTGCCCAGCCTGCCATGGGTGAGGGGCTGCAGGGCCAGCTCCCCCAGGGTGCCAGCAGCTCAGGGGTGACGATGAACATCCTTGCAGCGAGCCAAGCGTGACCTCAGCAGGGACTTCCTGCGCCTGCCCGCAGAGGACCCAGTGGTGGGTGAGTGCCTGTCAGGGTGCAGGGGGCGGATGCAGGCGCAGCCGCAGGCATCCTTCCCTGCCACAACCTTTCCACCGCAGCTGCCAAACTGGAGGCCACCAAGTCCCAGCTGCAGCGGGAGGCCTACGTGAGGGAGAAGATGGAGAAGGCCAAGGATGTGGTGCAGTGCTCCCGCCTCTGGGTGAGGTGAAAAGCCGTCTCTGGTAGAAGCTGGGGCTGCTCCAGCCCCAGGGAGCTGAGCCTTGTCTGCTCACCTTGTTCCATGGCAGGGTTATCTGCTCTCCTCTGCCCCCAGAGCCCCCCAGGGCCCCTCTTGTACAGGCAGGGCTGGAACTGCTTTGCTCCACGCCATCAACTTGCAGTGCTTCCTGTGGTTCCTGGTGCAGAAACCTCCCCAGGAGCACGGCCCAGATCCTGTACCCTGCAGGAGTGCCCTGGGCTGAGTCCCTGTGCTCTCCCCCGGCCAGGACATCCCCGTCAGGCTCCAGGCACAGCAGAAGTCCCTGCTGGAAATGGAGCACTACCTCACAAGGTGCAAGGAGAAGAAGCAGGAGCTGGAGAAGACAGTGAAGGAGCTGGAGATGCAGCGCGATGAGCTGAAGTTTCGCCGGCCCCCAGACACAAGCAGGTGCTGCTGGCCTCCGGACACTCATGCCAAAGGGGCCGGCACCCTTAGGGGCAGGGGGACATGTGCATGGCAGGTGTCCCAAGAGGGCAGCCCTTCCTTTGTCACCCTGCGGCTGCCCACCCCTCCCGCACTGGGAGGCTTTCTGAGCAGAGTGCTGCCCCAGCTCTGGTGCTGGCAGAGCACGCAAAGCTCCTGCGCTGGCAGCAGGAGGAGCCTTGCTCCTTGCCTGGCATGGGAAGTGGGAGCAGCAGCAGCGTGGGCTTGAGTTGCAGGCAGCGTCTCTGCTCTGCGCTTGGGGGCAGGGGAGAAGCTGGGCAGCAGCTTTTGCAACAGCTTTGGGGTGTCTGCACCCCTGTGCCGTTGTATGGATGTGACCGTGGTTGGCTCCAGGGGGCTGGTGGAGGAGCTGAGGACGAGGCTGCAGCGGGAAGAGGCTCGGCTGGAACAGGGGCGAGCCCAGCTGCTGAGGAGCCAGGAGACGCTGCTGGACTTTGAAAACGCACTTGACAACCTCTTCGTCCGGCTGCGGGGCATCACCGTGCCTGGCCAGGTACCCGCCCAACGCTGGGCTGAGCAGAGCCCAGGCTCTGCTTGGTGCTGCAACGGCACCGTGTGGTGACACTTGGTGCAGCGACCATCACCCCAAGGGGCTCCTTCTCCCCACCAAGGCTCTTCCCTCTCTGACTCCAGGAGCATCCTGTCAAGGCCATGGCAGTGGACGAGAAGCTCCAGCAGTGTGAGCAGAAGCTGCAGTACCTGGTGCAGCGGGTGGCTCACCTGCCCCCCTCCAGCCACAGCGAGGACGATGAGGTGCACGGCGGCTCCATCCCTGCTGCGCTCTTTCCCGGGTGGCCCGTGCCAAGCCATCCTCCCAGCTGGAGG